CCTCCACCCGGCTATGTGGTATCGCACCGTCTACGCGGTTCAAAGGATGTAAGTGGAAACCTGAAACACGATCATAGAGTTCTGGCAGGACTTTCCGCCTTCATCAAGGCCTCGTGCGCACGGCCGCGGGCGCAGGCCTCGGCGCTACGCGCCTTGGCCTGCGCCCTTGGCCGTATGCACTCGGCCTTGATTCAGCCATAAAGTCCTGCCAGAACTCTATGATTGTTTACTTCAAGCTGCTCGTCAGACTCGTTTGCCAGCGAGGCCAAGATCTGGTCCTGGAGGGACCTGGATCTGATGGGACAATGACCATGGTGACTGCGCTGGATTGTCTACACTACAGTCAGATTTGATCGACTGCCACTGTAGATGGACAAAAGCTATTCGATGTGCATGTACATGTATGCACATGGCCAAAATAAAAAATAAAAATAAATAAAAAATAAACCCGACCGACCGACCCTGGTACGGATGAGTGAAGTGACCCGAAACAACGAATTAATTCTAGGTGGCCTTATGCCGCATTGTGCTTACATATGCTCCTAATGTATAATGGTTCTGTGCAAAATAACAGGGGACTTTTTTGTAGAGGGCGTTGTACTGTAGTAGCAAAAGTTCAACGGGGTCAACGCATGGTCCGACCTAGCTACGACCGTCACTGATTGTAATGGACTGGACATGTTCTCAAGGGAGTCGTAAACCTACGACTTCCTGGTGCATCTACTTGTAGGTCTACTTGTAGAACATGTACAACTGTATGGAATTTGATGCGAACAGGCGGATTATTCCAATTTTATACGATTCGTATGCAATTTGCCTCGAATTATGCGATTATTCGATTTTGGTAGGAATTATGCGAAAAATTATGCTAGCATTATCTGTCAAGGCCTAACTCTGTATGTCCTCTATCCACGTATGGACTTCTTGATCGAACACCACAAACATGAGAGACACAGTGTGGGGTTGCCTTGCATGCATTTTTTCAGCCAGAAAAAGTGTGTACAAAATTTTACAAGTGGGTAAAATAGGGTCTAACATCAACAAAATATGACCTAAATTTGTCAATAAGCTTGCAATGGGAAATCAAGATACATCTGAAGCAAGTCACATGCAGAGAAAGCAGACAGGTTTTGCAGGTTGCCCAACGTATTTTCTAGAAAGGAAAAGGACATATGGAAACGAGTTAAGAGAACTCTCCACCACTGTAACTAGATACTGGAAAATGTTCTCCCTCCAGGCGCTCTTAACTACCTAAGACGCGCCTTTCCATACATCATCATCAACACCTGGAACGCGCTGCCATCCTCCCTCTTCACCAAACCACCATCTCCTAAGGGCCTACAATCCTTCAAAGCGAACGTCCACTACCATCTTCGCCGAAGCCAGTGGCTTTGGGCCACAGACTCCCTCTAACAGTTCAGAACTATTTCCATCCTGAAGCTCCCCCCTCCCCCAAGCATTGCATGATGTTCACTGCATCGGATCCGCCTTTGAATCTATTTTTCTCTCTTCTTGTTCTCTCTCCACCCCCCCCCCTGTTTAGAAGAGTATCTCTTTGTCGTTGTTACTATAATCGAGTGGCACATTCGCACTACAATTCTATGAGTGCTAGTTTGAAAATACGTTACGAATTTGAGCAATTGTTACGTTGTACAGCAGGTACGAACAATAATATATTTACATACTCACCGGTTTTCGTTTCGGAGTCCCGCGCTATGACTCAGCTAATTTCTATTTCGTTTGACTTGTATTGTCTGACTAGGGGCGCTGTCACCCCGTCGGGTGCAAGCACCCTTGGACAGAAGCACTTCACTTCACGACAAGTGTTCATTTTCGTTTTCCTCTTCTGCTTCTGTTGCACAGTTTGAACTAACTTTGAATGTGTGCTTTTTTCGTACTCTGCTCTCGATCGAACCATGCGCGGATCGATCTCCATGCATAATTATTTATCTCCCGTTGCCATGACTGGCATAAGTACAGCGTTGAGTACTCACTCGCTGCTTGGCACGCTTGCAGCGCGTCTTTCTTCTGTTGCAACCCAGTGCCTGCGTGCACGGTACGGGATTTGCGATGCCACATCAGCGTTGGTGTGTCGTTGTGCTTCGTTGTTGTTTTGTTCTTTGCTGAGTGTGGTCGTTAAAACTGAGCAAGAACGGGTCGTTGACAAGGCGTGGTTTCGATGTGCATGCCCTCCTGTCAACTCCAAACTATTGGTAGCAGAGGATGGTTATCACGGAGCCATTATGGAGGTAAAACTAGAAGACCTCGCACGGAAAAAGCGAGAGCTGAAAACGGATTTCACAAATACGAGGAGAAATTTGACAGTGGAGTCAACGAATGAGGTGCCGAACCAGGATGACGTAAAGGCATGGAGAAGCCACTTGACGACAGTGTATGACGAGACCAAGAAGGTCATCATGGAGTACATGGAAGCGGTGGTGGACACTGACTCTAGGAGACATGCTGGTCTCCAGAAGCAGTACAAGCAGCTGGAAGGCCAGTATTCCGATGCCATGGAATTGGCCAGGAGTGTGCTCATCAGGAGCAGCAGAGCGAGCCTGGCAGCGTCGACCAGGCAGACTCCCAGTCCCAAGCAATCGCCACTGAGAGGGGCAACGCCTTTACTGGCGTCAGTACGAGAGGAAAGCAGAGAAATTCTAGATCTGCGTGCGGCGCTCCAAGATGCACCGTTTCTTGGTCGCCAGCACGATGCGCGGGTGATGTTGCCCAGGGCTGCAGACTATGGAGAACGGGTGAAAGTAGAGCCGGACAGTCGTGTTGTAATGTTCAGTGGTCAGCGTGTGGGGGAACCTGCCGAACCCTTCCCGACCGTTGCCATGGCAACCGCGTCAGCACACGCGCCACCGCAAACGGATATGATCAACAGCAATGCATGCACCGCTTTATCTGCAGCAGCCGCTGAGTACCAGCCACGTAGTTCAGTGCTGCCAGCGTCATTTGCAACTATGACCACGGGCAGCAACGATCCTGCTATAAATCAGGAACAAGGCTCTGCCTTCCTGATCCACGATCCTGCTGATCAAACACCAAGTATGATGTATGCAACGTATGGCAACAATAGTGCTAGGCCGCAGCAGGCATACATGTACCAACAACAACAACTGCAACCGCAGTGGAGTGCGAGCAATAGTGCAGTCGTGTACAACTCACCTGTGCCTACTGGACCGTCGCACACCATCTCTGCCGGAGCGTCACAGTACGGTGCGAGACCCAGCGCTGGCATGCAAGCACCCCGGACCGCAGTATTCGCCCCAGCTCCGACATATGTCGGAGGCACCGCAGCTCGACCTGCGCCACGGACTGCTCCAGCGGCAGCTGCACAGATCAACATCGCCAGCAAGTTGAAGCGGATCGAAATTGCCGTGTTCACCGGAGAGAAGCGAAAATACGAGCGCTGGAAATCCGCTTTCATTGTTTGTGTGGACCAGCAGCCGCTCTCCGCTGAATTCAAGCTGCTGCAGCTCCGACAGTACGTGGCGGGTGACGCACTGGATGCCATCGAGAGTCTCGGCTACTCGGCAGCAGCATACGATGCTGCTCTGCGGCGGCTGGAGCGACGCTTCGGTGGGAGTCGCCGGCGCCTTGCGGTTCGGATGGAAGAGCTGGAACGATCTCCACCTATTCGATCCGGTAGAGCCCAGGACCTGGAGCGCTTTACCGATGTGCTCGACATGGCAGTGGTGACGTTAAAGGATGCCGGTATGCACACCGAGCTAGGTACCGGCATTCTCTACCAGCGGATCCAGCAGAAGCTGCCGGCGAACTTGTTGGCCCAGTATCGCCGCTGGATAGTACACCACCAAAAGGACGAATCGGTCGAGGTGCTGCTGGAGTGGCTGAATGCCGAGGCAGAAGTTCTTGCTGCCGCCACGGAAACTATCGAAGGCATCAGCCAGCAGCATCACGTCAGAAGCCAATTGTCAACCAGCGGGACAAGTCGAAATCAGCCGACTCGGACGGCAACGGCTCACGACGCTGTGCAACCGCGCACGACCACGTTCGTGACAGCTACAAACACCGCTGGCACCGCGCCGACCGCAAGGTCCACATGCCAATGCTGCAATGGTGGCGGGCACCCGATCTGGCATTGCCCAGAGTTTGAGAAACAAACTGTAAGCCAGCGCTGGGCAGCAGCGAAGCGAAGCAAGTCATGCTATAGATGCCTTGCGACTGGACATAGCGGCAAGGATTGCCCACGGGACCGGGAGTGCGGTATCGACGGGTGCACGCAGCATCACCATCGCCTGCTGCACAGTGAGCCCCGTCAACCGCCTCCAGCGTCGTCAACCCACGCCTCCGGAGAGACTGGAGCCATGCAGCCGGAGAACTTCAGTGCTGTCTCCCTCGGAAACAGCACGAAGGGAGAGGAGAATAGAGTACGGACGGTGACGTCGATTCGGACAGTTCCCGTTCAGCTATCCAACGGCAAGCGGTCGCTAACTGTTAACGCGCTGCTGGACGACGCCAGCACGCGCTCGTACATAGCGAGCAATGTTACGGCAGAACTCGGCCTGATTGGATCAAGCATGTCGCTGACCATCAGCAAGCTGAATGGACAGCAAGAGACCATTCACACTGTCCCAGTATCGTGCACTCTGCGAAGTGTTGACGGAGCCACGTCGACGACTCTCCATGCGTGCACAATCGAGCAGCCGACAGGCAACATGGAAGTTGTAGACTGGCACCACCTGGGAAAGCAGTACGCACATCTAGCCAATGTTGAGTTTCCGCCGCTACCGTCGAAACGCCACATTGACGTGCTTATCGGTGCCGACTATCCGGAGCTTCACATGGCGTATGAAGAGCGCTCGGGTAACAGCCATGAGCCCGTGGCGCGTCGGACGGCATTAGGTTGGACCTGCATCGGCCCAGTCAACCAACCAACGGACGAGTCCATCGAGCTGACTGCGGTGACCGTCGACCAATGCCACAGCGAGCTGAATCGTCTTGAGCCAAGCCTCTATTCCGACTAGGTACGAATGTGCCGTGTTCATGCTTGGTGTGTGCGATTTGCTACGAATTGCTCAGTACCACCCGCACAGCGAGAGTTTGATGAATTATCGCCACAAGCGATCCGAGACTCTGAGGAGTTCTACATCAAGCGAGCGCAGCAACAGTCGCTACCAGAGTATGCTGCAGTTAAGGCAGGCAAGCCTATCCCTGGAACCAGCAAGCTAGTCTCGCTCAAGCCGATGATTGACGACGCCGGCCTGCTACGCGTCGGAGGTCGACTACAGCATGCCGACTTCTTGACTGCAGAACAACGCATTCCGATCGTCCTACCACGAGGGGATCATGTGACACAGCTGATTGTCAAGGCATGTCACGAACGAGGATATCACGCGTTCGGTGTCAGCCATACGCTAGCCGAACTCTCGTCGCGCTACTGGATCGTCGCTGGCCGCGAAGAGGTGCGAGCTTGGGAAGCCAAGTGTGCGAGGTGCGCCCGGAGCCGTACGAAGCCGGCAATGCAGGTGATGGCGCCACTACCTAAGGTCCGAGTCAGCCTGCCGCTACTCGCATTCGGCCGAGTCTCTGTAGACTACGCCGGACCGTTTATGACGAAGCAGGGTCGCGGCAAGACACAACACAAGCGGTACCTGTGCTTGTTCACCTGCTTGCAGACGAGAGCAGTGCATCTCGAGCTGTCATACGCGTTGACAACGGACTCGTTCCTGCAGGCGTACGTACGCTTCACCAATCGACGGGGAGTACCGATTGACGTCATCTCCGACAATGGCACGAATTTTGTCGGCGCCACCAATGAGCTTGCTCAGCTAGTCAAGCAGCTTGATGCAGAGGCGATTCAGCGGCAGACAGCGGATCAGCAGACTAGCTGGCGTTTCAACCCTCCAGCAGCACCACATTTCGGCGGAGTGCATGAGGCGTTAGTAAAATCGGCAAAGCGTGCTATCTCGGCGATTCTGAAGAACGCGGAGGTCACAGACCAGAAGCTATTGTCTGCAATCGTCGGCGCGGAGGCGCTCATGAACTCACGGCCACTGTCCTACGTGTCGGCAGATGGTCGTGACCCAACTCCGCTAACGCCCAATCATTTCATGTATGGCCAAATCGGTACTCGGTTCGCACCTGCAGGAGTGGACGAGAGCGAGTTCAACCCTCGGCAACGCTGGCGTGTAGTGCAAGAACTCGTGCTGCACTTTTGGCGGAGATGGATGCAGGAAGTCGTGCCAGAGCTGAACCGGCGACTCAAGTGGAGGACGGCCGAGACAGACCTCAAGGTCGACGACATCGTTCTAGTGACATCCCAAGACAACCCACGGGGCACTTGGCCAATGGGTCGCGTCACCGAAGTGCACCCTGGTCCAGACGGACACGTGCAAGTTGTGAAGGTCAAGGTGGGCGACAAGACCTACACCCGCCCAATCGTGCGTCTTTGTAAGCTGTTCTGTGAGTAGCTCCTTGTTTGCCTATTTCAGAACAATAATCAATTTCGAATTGTTTGGTCACTGTGAATTTCGGCACAGTGAGAAGGGAGAGAAATGTTTAGAAGAGTATCTCTTTGTCGTTGTTACTATAATCGAGTGGCACATTCGCACTACAATTCTATGAGTGCTAGTTTGAAAATACGTTACGAATTTGAGCAATTGTTACGTTGTACAGCAGGTACGAACAATAATATATTTACATACTCACCGGTTTTCGTTTCGGAGTCCCGCGCTATGACTCAGCTAATTTCTATTTCGTTTGACTTGTATTGTCTGACTAGGGGCGCTGTCACCCCGTCGGGTGCAAGCACCCTTGGACAGAAGCACTTCACTTCACGACAAGTGTTCATTTTCGTTTTCCTCTTCTGCTTCTGTTGCACAGTTTGAACTAACTTTGAATGTGTGCTTTTTTCGTACTCTGCTCTCGATCGAACCATGCGCGGATCGATCTCCATGCATAATTATTTATCTCCCGTTGCCATGACTGGCATAAGTACAGCGTTGAGTACTCACTCGCTGCTTGGCACGCTTGCAGCGCGTCTTTCTTCTGTTGCAACCCAGTGCCTGCGTGCACGGTACGGGATTTGCGATGCCACATCAGCGTTGGTGTGTCGTTGTGCTTCGTTGTTGTTTTGTTCTTTGCTGAGTGTGGTCGTTAAAACTGAGCAAGAACGGGTCGTTGACAAGGCGTGGTTTCGATGTGCATGCCCTCCTGTCAACTCCAAACTACCCCCCTCTGACTCTCACTCTCTCTCTCTCTCTCTCTCTCACCTTCTCTTGTCTTTATCGCACTAAATCACCCCCTTCTTTTAGGCTATGGTGCGCAAGCTCATGTTAACGCCGAGACCATAGGTCGGTGTTGTGGGCTTGCCTCACCAGCACAGGCTTGCTTTGCAGCCCCTACTCTCCCTGCTGTTTTGTCATTGTATACTCTGTTGTCTTCTCCCCTTCTGACGAGTAGGTTGTGTACTTAGTAAAAAAATAAAAAAATAAAATATATACAGTCAGAAAGTAAGAAAAGGTTTGCTCCCCACACCGGAGCTCGTGTGCTCTGGATGGCAGTCGTGAGTCAGTCAACTGTCAAGAAAAGTCGGCGGAGTAGCGCGAGCTCCGGTGTGGGGAGCAAACCTTTTCTTACAAATCATCGCCGAAGTCGCAACCACTACTTCGTACAGTCAGAAAGTGCAACAACTAGGCACAAAACTGACAGAGTACTGAGACATTCGAAGTCCTGACACCTAGCTTCAACACATCTCCGTAGTGCTAACCGACTGCCTTCCAACTTGGAAGGTTCAAGGTTATGGAAAGACCAAAGAGGGGAAGGCAAGCGCAACGAAAACGAGCACAAGCTACAGTCCCAACGGAACAAAGAATGTCGATTGTCACTGGACGATGACGAGACCAGTAGGCGATTTGACAAAGCGGTCTAACTACAATTCGAAGCAGCAAAGCAGCACACCACCCAACTTGGGTGGGTCAAAAATAACAAAGATAAGTTAAGAAGGGGGAAGCTTTGCGAGAACGTCATCGTCCAGTGACAATCGACATTCTTTGTTCCGTTGGGACTGTAGCTTGTGCTAGTTTTCGTTGCGCTTGCCTTCCCCTCTTTGGTCTTTCCATAACCTTGAACCTTCCAAGTTGGAAGGCTGTCGGTTAGCGCTACGGAGATGTGTTGAAGCTAGGTGTCAGGACGTCGAATGTCTCAGTACTCTGTCAGTTTTGTGCCTAGTTGCTGCACTTTCTGACTGTATATAGTATCTAGTTACAGTGGTGGAGAGTTACTCTTAACTCGTTTCCATATGTCCTTTTCCTTTCTACATTTATTATTGGCTCAATACCCGAGTTTCGTATTGGTTTCGTAAGTCGTCAACTGTGGTTCAAAACGGTAGGATATCTTTGACCGCCTGCCGCCATTGTAGATTATGAGCACGCAGACCTTATCTTGCTGCTCCATTTCTTTCAACTTTCAGTGCATCCTCATGCTTGAAATAACCACATTAAGCGAAGATACCATCCATGATGCGCGCCAGCCACGACAGGGTGCCTTCGTGCATCTGGGCCACAGTGCATTTAACCGGCACATACTGACGATGTCGGGGCTTCCATACTCTTCAAGACAAGTGCAGTGACTCCTTCAACTGATTCATATACTTCTGTGTTGGAAGAAGACTGCAGACCACCCTCAATGAGTGCTCCGCCGTCAACACCCAACATACATTCATGCCGCATTTCCTGCATTTGCACTTTGCCATAGTGAATCTCTACCAGCACTTCTGAGGTAGCAAGCCGAGTTTCATACATAGATCTACTGAATAGGTAATAAATTATTATTTACCTGTATGCCATAAGCATCAGCAGCTTCGGACTTGGACTTGAATCATCTTTCATGATAGTTGAGTGAGAGACACCTTTTGTCAAAATTGCAGTTTCTGACCTTCACCTTTTTGGCTTATCTCTTCTTCAGCCCTGCTACTTTGACGGTGTGACAGACTCATTGCTGGCATCGGTGACCAGCCTAGGGTTTCGACTAGGGGTGAAACGGTTCTATGTTTTTCATGTTCGGGTACCCGAATGCCAACATTGTTTCCCACGGTTCGGGTATCGGTTCCATGCACTCTTTTCTCCAGACCGACAAAATGCGTTCGCGACAATTATTTTTTAGAAAAAAAAACATTTTTACGAGTAAGAATGAGACATCGCGTCGGAGAGTCCAAGTGCGAAGAAGATAATGACCATGATGACCAGAGAACTCTTTGGAAGAGTGGGGATCGTAAGGTAAGACATTAAAAATCTTGAGTAGACTTGACGTGTACATGTATTTGTACAAGAAAGAGATTTTTCGGGCTTCGGTTCGAAATTTGACGGAACGGGTACCCGAATCTTTTCAGCTGGCGGTTCCAAAACCGGTTCCTTACCCGAACCGTTTCACCCCTAGTTTCGACCTGCCGTAGAATATGCTCGCTGGCTCTTGGACGTCCTTCAAGCATCCATTGAGGGATATTTTACCTCATTGACCACAAATTCACGAATTTCGATCCATGATTGATATCTCACAAGGCCGTGGAAGAAGACAACTCCGCTAAACGCTGCTGATGCTTACAAACTACAATAATAATGGCAACTCACTTGTCTGTCGAACTAACAAAACACTTCATGGGAAGAATGCAATCGCCCTCAACAATGATATTTTACTCGATTTGTAAAATAATATGCCATGTAAAATTTTTTACGAATCACCTCGTACTGTCATAAATTCTATACGTAGATCACTGACGCTACACTGGGATAATCTGTATGTACTCCCATGTTGTTGGATACCCTTTGGATGAGGTATCGGTGGCACATAGCGAATCTTGCTACTTTGGAAATCAACAAATTTTGGCCGGTGAGAAACTTTGGCTGATTTAGAAAAGATCGTTCAATAGTTGTTGTCCTCACGTGCAGCAATGGCTGAATTATGCATCATTTGCCTCGATGACAAAATTTGGCCTGCGGTTAACATTGGCCAATCCGCACCAAGCGGCGAAATCAGCGAAAATGAGTTGATTTAGAGCACTTACCCGAAACTCGATAACAACTTTTCGAGCAACTGCACTGTCCAGCATTGTCTTGTACCACGGTATTAGAAGCTGTTGTGTGAGTATCCTTTGCCCAGGTGGATGACAGTTGAAAATATAGTCTTCGTTTTTCCCAGGAGGGCATGCCCAAAGGTTAACAGCGACAAAGCCTCGCTTTGCTATATAGTCCTTATACACCCAACATACATTCATGCCGCATTTCCTCTTCTGAGGTAGCAAGCTGAGTTTCATACATAGATCTACTGAATAGGTAATTATTTACCTGTATGCCATAAGCATCAGCAGCTTCGAACTTGGATTTGAATCATCTTTCATGATAGTTGAGTGAGAGACACCTTTTGTCAAAATTGCAGTTTCTGACCTTCACCTTTTTGGCTAATCTCTTCTTCAGCCCTGCTACTTTGACGGTGTGACAGACTCATTGCTGGCATCGGTGACCAGCCTAGGGTTTCGACCTGCCGTAGAATATGCTCGCTGGCTCTTGGACGTCCTTCAAGCATCCATTGAGGGATATTTTACCTCATTGACCACAAATTCTCGAATTTCGATCCATGATTGATATCTCACAAGGCCGTGGAAGAAGACAATTCCGCTAAACGCTGCTGATGCTTACAAACTACAATAATAATGGCAACTCACTTGTCTGTCGAACTAACAAAAACACTTCATGGGAAGAATGCAATCGCCCTCAACAATGATATTTTACTCGATTTGTAAAATATTATGTCATGTAAAATTTTTACAAATCACCTCGTACTGTCATAAATTCAATACGTAGATCACTGACGCTACACTGGGATAATCTGTATGTACTCCCATGTTGTTGGATACCCTTTGGATGAGGTATCGGTGGCACATAGCTAATCTTGCTACTCTGGAAATCAACAAATTTTGTCCGGTGAGAAACTTTGGCTGATTTAGAAAAGATCGTTTAATAGTTGTTGTCCTCACGTGCAGCCATGGCTGAATTATGCATCATTTGCCTCGATGACAAACTTTGGCCTGCGGTTAATATTGGCCAATCGGCACCAAACGGCGAAATCAGCGAAAATGAGTTGATTTAGAGCACTTACCCGAAACTCGATAACAACTTTTCGAGCAACTGCACTGTCCAGCATTGTCTGGTGGACGACAGTTGAAAATATAGTCTTCGTCTTTCCCAGGAGGGCATGCCCAAAGGTTAACAGCGACAAAGCCTCGCTTTGCTATATAGTCCTTATACACCCAACATACATTCATGCCGCATTTCCTGCATTTGCACTTTGCCATCGTGAATCTCTACCAGCACTTCTGAGGTAGCAAGCTGAGTTTCATACATCCAATCAGCACCAGAGGGAGCCTACAATGAAATAAACACGGAGGCCAGAGAAATCGCCACAGACCGAGACGTCG